GGGAAAATGTTGAAGCACAAGTGCTATGGCTGCACTGTATCCTTGGCTCTTTGATGCCTGTGTGTCAGTGTGCAGCATACCTCTGTGCTCATGTTTTATACTGTAGGTAGGAAGAACAGCAGAATTAGTCTCAAACCATATCTCTTCAGCATCATGCTGGGTGGACTACAGGGTTGGTGGTTTACAGGATGAGACAGAAGGATTGTGCTTTCAGTGCTGTCCTGGCAGAGGGCCCATGGAAAGAGCGTCCTCTCCATCCGTAGTGTCCAGCTCATCTGTGCGCACGGCGTGAGTGATGAGATAAAGCTCCTCAGAGAGTGTCTCGCTGCGGTATGCCACGCGGATGTCAGGGACATTGGTGCGACGAATGTCGTTGCTCTCAGGACCCACCTTAGAATAACCGGGGCCCAACCAGTGGCTTTTGGCCTAGAATGATGAGAAGCTACGTGAGTGGAAAGCTCAGATACGAGTCAAATACAGAACAAAAAACAGTTCCTTTACAGTAAGAACACTTTTAGATTCCAAGGGGGATAATTATTAAGGACTTGTGGATCATTTTGTGGCACCAAACATATGTTCATATTTACTAAGGAGTCACAGTGGGGTCACCAGAAAACCAGAAGAAGAGCAGCACCACAGGAAATTGTGTGTTGGGTCTCATTTTTATTTGTTTTATATTTTAGTGGGTTATCTACTCTATTTATTGGTTTGTGTGCTTGATATTGAGTGTGAACCGCTGCTGAAACAATCCAATTTCCCAGATTGGGATTAATAAAGTATTTCTATCTATCTATAAATAAGCATTATGTATTTTAAGGAGTTCTTGTTCAGGGACACAAACATCAGGGAGAAAAAAAAAAAAAGGAACTGTATACAAGTACTCTCAGCAGCTGATATACCACCGCTGTGTCGGAGGGAACTGTGGCAGAAATTTAACATCAGGAGAAAGCAGGGTAGAAAATGTGCAGCGCTGGTCTCAGCATGGCAGCTGTTAGTCATCTAAGATCTTGTCAGCGTTAAGAACATGTTTGAGGAGGGAGAAGGCGTCAGTAAATTGCACAGCTCACCAAAGGAAAAATGTGAGTTTTCAGGATAACAGGTCAAACCATGTTTCAGTAACCAAACGAAATACAAGACAAGTTGACTGGCAGAAGTCTAATACGTTGAAGAAAACAGAGCTGCAGTCATGTAAAGTTCAGTTGCAGTAAACAGCGTTTTCTGCTGTCCATCTCAGTCCACCCGTGCACAGTACAGGCTAGTCCTTACCAGCTGACACGCATTCACATGAACACAGCTGCGGCTGTGCTCATTTACAACGGTGTTGGTAAATGTCCCGCCAAACTGAAAAATTGCTGTGCCACAATATTTTCTGCACCTGATAGTAATTTCTGACACGTTCAGTACATATCCCCCCAAGTGTCTTGTTGCATAACGTAGAGCCCGTGTCACATGCATGGATGAATAGACTAAAACTGACATAATGAGAAGAGGTAGAGTAATTTACCTTGTGTGAAAACCCACTCATGAGGACACTGTTTCTTGCCAGCTCACACATGTCACAGGAACTTAGTTTCCACACCTGAGCAGCAATGCTGTACTCCTCCATTAGAGGCTCCTGGGCACGCATGCACACACGCGCACACACACCAGAATACAATGTAAATTCAACATTTTTACTTTTTGCACATTGTGTACATTCAGACAAATGTCCTTTACACTGACACTGACCTTGGTGAAGTGGAACTGAAGAGGATCATCTGTGGACAGAGACACCATGAGGCCTCGGGACAGGTACTCTGGCAGCGGGTTGCGGTGGTAACTGAGGAACAGGCTGTTGTTACTCAGTGGCGACATGGCAATGCCAATCTGAGCCAGGTAGTAAAGATACTGCAGCACCGGAGCCTGGCAGGTATCAAACAGAGAAAGCAAGAGACAAAAAGAAAAGCAAACAGTCACAGGCTGGTACAAGCACATCTTCGTCTCAGACTTGTTTAGAGCAGCAGCAGATTAGTCGCTACTTGCTTCCACTCAATACAGTGGCAGCTTAAGACCCACACACACACACACACACACACACACACAAAAAACAGTATCCAAAGGGAATAAAGCAGAGTACTGGACTTCTGGGATGTGTTGAATGTGTGTTCGTTGTTTCCTATAAACTGAAGCTTGAACACATTATAACACATTTTTATCTTTTTGTACACTTCCAAAATACACTGTAATGCCGAGTTGAATCAACTGCTCTCCAACATATATATAATTCAGGTGTTCATGGTAATGCGTTCACCCTGTTTATGATACAATGCTCATCAATTAATAACCTACAAAGTCTGAAAAAGGGAAACAATATCTTCAGTCTGTTTTTTAAATAATTTTTCCAACATACAGTATTTCAATCAAAACTTGTACAAACAATGTTATTTCAACATGGTAAAGCCAAACATTTCCAATCCAGTGTCCTGTCCTGACCTTTCTGAGCAGTAGTCCATGGGAGATGTTCTCTGATAACATGAAACCTGACACCAGGTGGTGGATCGGCCCTGCCTCCCCACAGTGAGGTCGCAGAACAAATGTGTGGAAGCCTCGCCGCCTGTGGTAGACACGTGGATTTAAAAACAAAATTATTAAAACTGCATGCATTTCCATTTTGTGTTTAAATGAATGAATGATGCGTTTATAGCCCATACCGTCGCAGGTGGTTGAGCACAGTCATGTTGGCATAAGTATAGTACAGGTAGTAGGAGTAAGGTGGGTTGTTTTCTTCTGTCCAGTTTGCTGGCAGCGGACTGTCAAGATTGAAAATGTGGTGCTCGGGTTTGGACTCGTCGTCTACACTGTCGAAGCCCACCACCTAGCGACATACATGCAACACATAAACAACAGTCAGCCAGTCTCCAAATGTGAATCAGTGGAACAGCTTGTGATACTCACATGGTCCAGGAAGAGATGCAGCTCTGGATGACTGCGAGGGTTAATCGTGACCTCGAACAGGGGCATGAAGATGTTCTCCAACATCTCCTGGAAATTAGCCAGCTGCCGCTTGGTGCGGTACACATCACTGAAGAGGTGGTGATTCAATAATGACTTTTATTAGTACTACAAAGATCAATCAAATATATGTTTCATTGTATAAAGCACATCTACACTAGTTAAGGAGTTAGTTTCTCTCATTTTTTTCTGTATTGAAAGCGTACTGATTTAGCACTGCACTCCTACAACACTGTCAGACTCACAATAGTCTTAAAAAAAAAAAACCTAGGACGATTAACCTTAGCGCTAATTTCTCATTAATCTAAAATCTAGTGATTAAATGCTGCTTGTAGGTAAATCAAGTTGGGGGATGGGGGGTACTTACAACAGTCGGGGCACCTGGATGAGCCAGCGTACATTATCAGAGTACACTTGATGTTTGACAGCCCACTGAGCCAACTTATCCCATTCATCTCGGGAGCGGCCATAGATGGAGAGACGTAGCTCAGAGTTCTGGTACTTACTCTCCTCCAAATCAAACATCACCTCCTGGACAATACAGACAGAGGTTACTGATGTATCAGTTTGTGGCGGTTATTTCAAGGATTAAAAATTTTTTAGTTTTCACACCTTTACTATGTGTGCAAAGTATTTTCCTTCAATGTAATTATCAGTCTTGATGAAGATCTCTCTGAGGATGGATTCTCCAATGGGGTTGTATTTTGAATTGAACTTGTCAAACCGATGGAACGTGTTACGGTCCTGAGGCAAAAGAGAAACCACTTAAATCTAAATGTTATCTATAGCACATTTTCAACTGTATTTCTTTGTATATAATCGCTTAAAATATGACTTCTTTTCAACTATTTTGCACCGTTCTTCACATTTCTCACCGCGTGCATGTCAAGAGTGTCAACACTAAGGCCGTAGGCTGTCAGGTTCATGCTCTCAAACACCTCCTTGAGGGTCTGACCCCGGCCACGCTCAATGTGAACAATCTCCCCAGGGTATTTCTTCACGGCTCTCTTAATGAATCGCAGGAGGTGCTTCTGGTTCATGCAGGATGATGCATGTATGTGTGTGTCCACCTGGACAAAGGATAAGGCTCAGATTAGGTTAAACAACTTATTTTAATGTTTGTAGTACTGGGAAAGTTGTCAGCCAAGTGATGGTATCAAAGTTAATAGTTGTGGATCCATTAGTTAAACCAGCAGCAGCTACTGTAGAATTTGTTGCCTCTTGCCTTTCGTATATTGTAGAAGTCTCTGTGAGGAACCTTCTTCTGATCTGCTAGCTCCTTCATCTCATTCAGGAGGATGTGCATCTGGAATTTTGAGCTTAGGTACTGTAGGCGACGGTAACAGAAAGACTTCCTGTGAACACCATACAGAGGAAACACTTGATTTCAAATATACAGTGCTACAAAAAAAGACATTGAAGAATAATACTGTCCAAATAAATAAATAAAACAATAAATTCTTACACTGGCCCATTGATAATGAGAGACATCATAACATTCATGTGTGCAATATACTCCTTCAGGTCAGGATATGGCAGGTCCAGTTCAGTACTTCTGAACAGGAAGACAGTACAAAGTTATAAAGCAGACTCACTTTTTTATGAATGTGTCACCCTTCAGATACAATCACATACTTGTCTATGTTTGTTTTCTTGGTGTAGACATGGACTACTCCATCCACCATCTTGCAGCCATAACCTGTGTCCACTGGCATGTTCGTGGGGTCCTGATTTTCATAGGGGTGTGTCTCTGAAGCAGGTGGGTGAACGGGGGCATCTGGGAAAATGGGGTGGACAGTCAATTTTCCAAGCTGCAAAAAATGATCAACAATGATGCAGAAACTGTTCAGCTGTAAGATACAAAGGGTAGGAGTGGCTCTGGCTGTCTCCTCAGTTTACATTTGTCTAATTTGTAATTTGACCAGCATAATTCAATTTACAAAAAAAACAAAAAAAACAACACCTATTAGAGTGCTTATCATTCCCTTTATTGTTTTGCCAGCTCCTTCAGACTGTGCATGTAGCTTCAAGTATATCGCTTTTTGCAGGCAACCTTTACTGTCTCAGTATTGAGACTAAGTATTTCCCAAGAAACCAATCTCAAAACGTAGTCAAGGTTTTAGAATGGAAAGAATACAGTCCGAGGACACTGACACACTCTTTTTTCTTTCTGGTTTCCATTTCTGCCCAGTTGTGATAAGCATGTTTGGTGAGTGCATGTTATACCAGCATCTACAGGGGTCTCTGGTACATCATCGTACACGCCTAGATCCAGAGACTTCATCCCGAGGTCCTGCAAGGCGTGAGCTGTAGTCTTACAAAAGTTCTGCAGGGAATGGTTTATGTACTTCTCCCGAATAAATAATGCCTTCACCACACATTTAGCAGCATCTACCAGGTCAGTGAAGGGCACCTGGACAGATAAAAGTACAGTTATGAAAACCACTGCAAGTGGAATTTATTTCATTGGGATGTTGATTTGACTGCCAGCTCCTCACCCCACACTTTTCCTCTCCAGATATTGAGACACGCAGATACTCTCTCTCCATTGGCATTACCCTCTCCTTAAAACCACTGTCAACAGTTTCCACACTTTGCTCCATCATTATCCTTAAAGATATAGACAGAAACAAGCAAGAGTTTAAAATAAGAGAAAGGTTAGCTGAGGCCAGGGGTGAAGACCGAGATGAAAAATATGGAGGTAAGGAGAAGTGTGGTAGGAAAGTTAAGGAGAAACTTTTTTTTGTTGGTTTATGGTACAAAAGTATCAACATTAATGCAGTATGGACAGCATTAAATGTACATTTTAATGCTGAGACCAATTATACTATGTATTACACTATTAATCAATCAACGCGCATTGCATAACTACATGGTGTTTTCTTTATGCAAAAATATTTTACTATAAGCTGTGATTACAGAGTATCGCCAAGTATAACAGTATTTATCAAATTAAACTGTTTCTATTCTATCCTGCAGATGTTTTCAGGTGCTGTGAGACCAGATGAAAAACACTAGTGAAGCACAACCTTTAAAGATTTCAGTGTTTCAATAGACTTGGTGAAACCAAACTTTAATTCACAGTAATAAAGCTCAATACGTTCCTGGGAAGTTTACCTTTATCAGATGTGTTCCAGACAGACCACAGTTCTTTCTCCGAGGTTTACAGAGAGATTCTTGGTCTAACACTAACCCGGACTGTGGAAACGTACATACCGCTGGTGTGTAAATAATGCCAAGTGAACTGAAATTGCAGCAAAGGTTTTCTTATCAAAGTCTACAAATTTCTCAGAAATGGCCTAATGAAAAAGGATGCTGCTTAGTTTGACTGGTGACTCTAAATTCTCCATAGTAGTGAGTGTGTGGGGTTGTTTGTCTACACCCCGTGAATCTGTTCAAGAATAAGAGGTATAGATAAGGGATGGATGGATAGTTCACAGGAGGCACAATATCCAATACCAAGCCAACAGAGGAAATCTTCTCTCAGGAAAGGAGAGAGATGTTAAACCAGGATCATTAGGAAAATGCAGTCACAGAATTTAGACTTTTTCCAAACTTAAGAGATGTGTTGTTTTAGAGAATAAAATGCAACAGAACAAGCAACATGTGAACATTTATCAAACCACCAGCAGGGGGTAGATGTGGTCCATCCCAACATACTGACAGTCTCTGTCAGTGACTCTGGAGGAAAGTACTTACATAAATCCAGGGTTTCTAAGTACAGTCAACTAGATGTTGAAAGATGTGTGGTACTGACAATAAATATTACTGTAAATGTCAGGTAAGCAGTTGCCATGCACACCTCTAAGAGTACAAGCAAGCAAAACAGAGGAAAATTTTACAAAACTTAAAGAGCCAAAGAGGAAATCACTAGACAAAACGTACATACTGAAGCAGAGCTCACTCACTCTAGGTCTGCATCACTGTCGATTTTCATGAAGTCCTGTTTGGCACGGAGCAAAATCTCTGGTTCAAGCCTTGGGGTGATATGCAGTGGCGCAGGCCAGTGTGGGCAAGGCAGGGGGCAGATGGACATTAGAGGTAGTGAGAAGAAAAGCAGACACAAGGACCAAGAGACCAAATGTATGCAACAGTATAGCCATAATCACAAGCTCTAAACTAGCTCACACACACACACACACACACACACACACACACTCTCTCTCTCTCTCTCACACAAACACATACACACATATTGCCTTAGGTATAACGTGATCAAGGTGAGTGACACAAACAGAAAAACATCATCAGTTAGTAGTGGTACACCCTGATTGGTAAACAAGTGCTTGCGGGCTGCGTGACGGATAACCACCCAAACAAGTGGCTTTAGTGGTCCAGATAGCGCCCCCCCGCCAACAGAGACATAACCCACCTCCTCATAAAGACTGAACACCAGGACAGGTGCCAACAGCTGGCTAGCCCAGTTAGCCCACTAACTGGCATGTTGAAAGCTGGTACATGAACAGGTAAAGCAAGACTGTGTGTAAATGGTGGGGGAGGAGGGAGACCCATGTCTGCCTGAAGTAGTGTAAAGAGTTTACATTACTTTTATGTGTGTTTGCATTTCCTCACTTAATATCCTGGCTGATTTGCCTCTCCAAGCGCTGTCGTCGCTCTTCCAGCTGTTCGATGGGGCTGTCCTCTGGGAATTCATAAGGAGCACTTCGCATCTCACTCTCTGTCATACTGAGTGTGAACAGCTCCTGGTGTAAACAAAAGTTAACATTTTTGGATTTTCAAATGTGCCAAACTGTATTTTCATAACTATGAAATTCAAACAAATACCAAAACTAAATTAACCAATATTGTGCACAGTTTATTCTAACTGTATTAAGAAATTTTAATGTAATCATTTCCCATTTCCAATTCTCACCTCAGCAATTTCTTTATACTTTTCATCCATGGATGTTCGCAGGTCAATCGGGTAGTTTGCCACAGAAATGGGTGTCCCCAGATGGGATCGCTGGGGCTTGAGGGGCTTGTGCCCAGATGCACCACTCAGATCTGTAAGCAGACACGGATAGAGTTACATCATGGGACAGTAACACACAGTCACCATGACTTCAAAACCATGAATTATTGATCACAGAGCCTTTACTTTAAGGTCCAGTGTCCCTTAAAGGCAGAGGCGATAATGTAGAAGATACATTCTCCAAATCTTTCCCGTACAGTAAAACGCATGGTGTCTGTGCTAAGAGCCATATACATTTTACTACATGTACTGCAAGACGTAATCACAGTAAAGGCTGACAAAAGGCTACCTGTTGTGTGTGTTTATGCACTGAATTGTTGAATTAATAAGGGCTGTAGTTTAGCTGTAGCTTTCAGAGCTGTTAAATAGTAAATGTATACATTTACTATTTAACAGCTCCGACAGTAAATGTACAAGATGTCTCTCCACCCAAACCAACACATAGCATGGAACTTCATTTACTGTAGTCGTGATGCATTCATTATCTGCAATGTGCAGTAACTGAAAGAAGTCACTTATTTCACAGTCTGTGTAAAGGTAGACAAAGCTAACCATTATCATCAGAGACTAAAATAGACCATTTAATTTTAGTTTAGCAAATGCTGCAACAGGTAAAACTATGATTTCAGCAAACAAGACTCAGACTGTACAATCCAGTTTAGACTCAAGAATCTTTAGCCAAGTACTTGTTTACTTTCCTTCCTTCAGGTTCATGAACACATCAGCCCTTTTTATTGTGTCCACACAGAAGACATAGACATCAGATGCAAAAAGTAAATAGTCAGAAACCAACCAAATTAAAATAAGGCATAGCTATGATTCCACTTTGTTGACAGCGATGAAGCTCTGGTAGCTGCAATCTGTGACAAAGCAGTAAAATCCTTGTAAATGTCCAAGAACGGAAGCAAAGTTCAGAACCGACAGCTGTACCAGCAGATAATGTGAGAAACATAACATTAACTGATTCCCAATTACTTAAGGACAGCCATACTTTTAAGTTAAAGAACTATAAGAGGTTTACTGTATGTGCACACATACTCACTTGAAACAAGTCTGTGACTTTGGGAGTGGTGTGTTCACTCTGCTCTGCAATTGGTGTAATTATTGGTGCTGTGTCTGGCCTGTGACAATTAGTCTCTGCCATCTGCTGTCTGCTGTCTGCCTCATAGGCTATGGAGCTAGGTAAGAGCCCGGGGTAACTCTCCAGAGTAAACGGACACTGGTGTCACACTGTGAAACATTTCAGTATTGTGTCCTGAGGTTTTACACCATGATCAGCTGACAATCATATGCTGAAGGTCATGAAAAGTGTCTCTTGAACATGTATCATTACAGCTCAATAATACTGGATTTTTAAGGCAGACAGCCATACAAGAGTTTCAAATAAATATCTATCAGCCAATATTCCATTTCTTGCATAAACATTTCAACTTTTTTTTAAAGAATAAAACTTTTTAAGCAACTGTGATCATAATATGAACTGAGCAGACTATTTTAACATCGAAAAATAAACTTGCCAGTGTTTTATGTTAAACTACTTAAGAGACAATATCATTTCTAAACTGAATGACCTCAAATAGATTTTTGGCATTTCTGTACTGATATTTCTTGCTGCTTAGGACAAAACAGATGACTTCAAATATAAAGACAGACAGATACAATGTCAATCCCAGTATAGTATCCATGTAATCATCCAGCCTTTCCACCACAGATGACTCTTAATCCAGCACCCCCAACTCTATTTATCTCAATGACATCATTGTAATGGGGAACACAAACCTCTTACACACTGCTAAACACAACAAACTGACACAGACTCGGAAGAATGCAACAATTAAAATTAAGCAAAGAAACTATGAAGAGTTCATTCTCTCTGCTTAGCACTAGGATACCCCTTTCAAATACCACACAACTGAGCAGCAAAAACACAGCCAAGCATCAACCATCAAAACAGTAAGAGCTCCAGAAAGTTTATGACAGAGACCTTAAGGCTTTAGTCATCAAGGTTTATTCAATTTAATGTTAATTTAAAAAATAAATGGTGATGAAAAGGCAAATAACTATAATTATTAATTTGCTTTGACAATGTTGTATCTAAAATTCAGTGAACAACAATAAAATTAAACGTCTGATGTTTGAGTAATACTTCTGTGCCATGACAAAGACAAAGAAGCCATAATGGAGTCAGGCCACATGAGGCACTTGACTGCAGCCTTGTCCTTGAAACAAGTGGATCAACATGGGACTCAAAAACTAATTTTGCCTAAGCTCATTTCCTCTTTCTGGTAGCATTTCTATGTACTATGGTCATATGAACTGTTGGTCTTTGTTTCAAACCACTGTGCAGATCCAGGTTGCATGAGACTGTTTTGGTACACAGTACACAGACTAGCCAAGAAACCTCAGACAGACTGTTTACTGTGTGTGTGGGTGCCGGTCTATTTTAGAATGAAATGCCTCAACCCTTCCTTTGTGTAGCCACTTTAAGTTAATTTCTTAAACTGCATCAGCTTAGTCTCAACATCTGTGGAAGCCGAGTCTGCAGACCACCTCCATACACCTGTTCTTTTGATCCCTATCAGAGAGTCGGCTAGTATCTTCAGAGCTGCCTCCACTTTATAAGGATCAGTACAATCCTTCCATCCTTTTTACCAAGATGAAAGGTAGTACA